TCTAGGTTTTGGATATGTTTGGTATGATCAGAAAGTTGTATGTAAGAATCAATTTATATTGGACGTTAAACTACGTCTACGTGATGTTTTTATACAAAATATGAACACTTTTTTTGAAAACTCTACGAAATGTTTTTTATATAGATGTCTGCCCGAGGTTAATTGTCTTCAGTATTATCTTTGTAAATCTTTTCCTGAATCTTGTATTTTAACCATTGCGAAATTTAGATTATCTTCTCACGACCTTCGTATAGAAAGGGGCAGATATGAGAGAATACCTCGTAATGAAAGACTTTGTTTAAAGTGTAATTCAGGCGATATAGAGGACGAATTGCATTTTATTCTTGTTTGTCCATTTTACAACGAAGTAAGAACACAATATATTGACAGATATTACAGAATTAGACCGTCTATGTTTAAATTAATTAATTTACTTTCTGTTAGAAGTAAGAGGAAATTGAATAATCTTTCCAAATTTTTAATTTCTGCTTCACAATTGAGATCAAATGAATAATTACACATATTGTCCATCCTCCATAATATGTATGTATTGCTGTGTATCACTCACTCAATTTTGTAAAATGTATTGTAATGTTTATGCTGATAAGCCGAAAGGCTAAAGGCCAATAAACTAAACTAAACTAAACTAAACAAGCTTAAGTGATCAAGCGTCTTGTTGAACGAGACTAGAATTTAGGATGAATTCCGAACAGGAAGCGTTCTTACGCATACCAAATGCCATGGGCAACATGGCCTATGGTGTTATAGATAATATCTCCCTAGTTCTTATAATCTCCTACTGAAATATGCCCATAGCATAGGACTCAGGAGACCTTTGATAAATATATAGGTGCATTTTTTTCGTCAAGGAAGTCCGTGTATCAGATGTAATAACGTTCTCTAATTATGAGAAAATTGTAATCATGTTTATCTACCACGAGTGTTACTTTTCAAAGCGTATAAAAATGAAGATTATTGAGTGTAATTTAACAATTAGAAAAAAATAACAAGTAAAACAAAATAAACATGAAGACCGGCCAAAAAAAATGGGAACTTTTCCCCCTGTGACGTTCATTTATGCCTGGAAAATTATACGTTGAAATTTGACCAATTGTACATTATTCAAAAGGGGTTTATATTTGCACTTAGCAATTTTTACTGAACTGTTTGCCAATCAAATCACGTCCAGGTTGTTTTCCACATATATCATTATCATCTGCTGCAAGTCCCGATGTAAAGCCCCTAATGCGATTTGAATTATTATCCTATGGGAAAATATACGTACTGAACGGATTAAAAAATGCCAGTCATCAATATCTAATACATTACAATACAATATATTTTATTAACGTGTCACATATCAATAGTAAAGGTCTATACAATACATTACAAGTTTTAACAAAATTAACAATTTTAAAAACAATGAGATTGCACCGAATTTAATTGAACTGTCTCGCACGAATACTTTAGAAAAATCAAACAATTAAAACATATTTGATATTGGTAAATGGCAACTTTACCTTTTAGTAAAAAAAATGCGTTGAAAGAAATATTTGAATACGGACATGCAAGCATTTAGGAACGCATTTTTTTTTTATAAATCATGAAATATTCTCACATCAGTTCATACATTTCGCGAGTTTCCAAAATCAGAAAATTACGCGGGTTAAAATTTTTCACTTGATGAGCACGTCTAAGAACAAAATTTTCGCGGATATTTCAAAACTTTGAACGAATTGATAAACATCTTATGGTACTGTAGCTATTACGCCCGACTAGATTTCAACTATCACAAACACAGTCCGTCAGCAAGTCTGTGCCTTCACGTACAGTATTACAACATTATGCCATGCGTCACTTCATTGCCAACAATTCTTTGATTTAATTATCTGCTAAATAATTTGCTCGTAATGTTTGCATGACGGACAATTTTTCCTAAATTGACAATTCCTTCGTATTTTAGATGATAGAGATTTAAGTAATTTAAAGACAGAGGGATTTATTCGATATAGGGTTGAATATATTTGATTCGCAGATCGTTTTACAAGGAGCATTTTAAAATGAAATGATATTCGTCCTCTATGTCATTTAGCCGCGGTCACATCTTACGGTCACGCACGTAGTTGACCGTAGTGGGGGATGACCGTAGTTGACTGTAGTGGGGGATGACCGTAGTTGACTGTAGTGGGGGATGACCGTAGTTGACTGTAGTGGGGGATGACCGTAGTTGACTGTAGGAGGGGATGACCGTAGTTGACTGTAGTGGGGGATGACCATAGTTGACCGTAGTGGGGGATGACGGTAGTTGCCTGTAGTAGATCTACCGTAGGTGACCTTAGTTAAACGGATTAAACGTAGTTAGATGTAGGTCAACGTAATTATAAACGTAGTTTGAACTTCAAGAAACCCATGATTTGTTAGTTGTTTAACGACAAATTTACGATTATGAAGTTTGTTATGGAGGCTGGTGAATATTTTTTATGCGTGATAATATTTTCGCGATGCATTAAAGACCCACAAAAATCGCAAAAAATGTCAGCCTCGCGGAAATATCCCGCTATACGTTAATGTTAGTAAAAATCATCGATATAAAGCGTGTTGAAAGCTATATGTGTTTGTATAACGTTGCGTCAATGTCGCCAAAGAAGAATCAAACAGGGGGACATTTAAATATATCTCCCCGGGGAATGTTTTTCCGATTGTGAAGCTCGACCACTTTAACTTTATCATTTGAAAAATGTGACGAAAGATTAACATGACCTTTTACTCTATATTTTCTTGATGAAATTGTGCATTGTGGCCCTGGTCTTATTACCGATAATAGCAAAGACATTTTTAACAATTTATCAACCTGGTTATATTTTTCATTATTTTCATAGAAATAAAACACACCTTAATTGCCCTAACAGGCACACGTTTCTTTCAATATATCTGATATGGTTATCAACAGATATCCAATTTCATTCCCGGTATGCTCTTTATGTCTCAGTGGTTCTTCGTGTCATTGCGTGTGTTTTCTACGTTCTAGCCGTGAAATATTTGTAAAGTAAAACATATATGAGATCAGATACCGAAGGGGTCATTTTTTTGTAAACATAAATTGCTTATAAATCTGTACTCTGAGACTAACCTCAACAAATCCTGACTGTTTCATAATGTAGGTTCCGTGTATAAGGAAATAACTGCAACAGGATGTTATGAAAAGATCTTAATCTGCTCGAGAGGCCTCCTCTATGAAGGGACCAGTTGCAATTATAATCATAATATACACCATTTATATAGCGCCCCATGCAATTTTTTAAAATTACTCAAAAACGTATGAATAATAGTATTAGTTATAATTGTTAAACAAAAAGTCTTACAATCACCATTATACCGTCAACGAGAAGATAATCATCTCAATGTGCATATGTACACGCAGACGTGAAGAGGTAAGTGTTTATGTCCTTTTTGAACTTGGCCACAACAGTTGTGTTAAAAGTTATACAAACGGTCTCTAAAGATCTCTGTCCCACTGAACACTGTTTTTTCCCTACCTGCAGTAACGTCCCCTTAACTTCCGGTTAGATATACATGAATAATTATTGGGCCAGAACCATTCCGTCGATGAGGTAGCTCAATCGGTAAATTAAAGCGATAGTTTAGTAGTCGGAAATTCAGGGTTCTGATCTGGGTATAAGCCAACAGGTGTTGGCTTTGCTTTATTTAAAATCAGAACACTGTTGTTGATTATAT